AGGTGTCATATTAACATCAATCGTACTTGTACCATTGGTTAATATTACGTCCGAATCGGCTTCTACATTAGGTAGCATATGAGTAGACTTGTTACTGGTGATGCCTAATGCGGGATAACTATACCTGATATAGATGCTCTTCATCTCCTTGTTCAATTTAATTGATTCCAAATCTATCAAAACGCGATATTTACGCTCATTATTAGAATTCTGTCCAACACTTTCTAAGAGAAATGACTTTTCTCTTTCCGCAGCGGATGAAGATGCGCTTTCAGACGTATCCACGGAAAGAGAATTCGTAGGCTCTCTTCGAATGGCCATGAAAACTCCAATCCTCGCAGTTTGTACATCAGCTGATACAGGCAATTCTCTTTTTGCATTATACATGGGACAGACACGATCTAAAGAACGTGGCTCCCCCGATTTTGCGTCGAAGAGGCCTGTCAAAGGAATATCCGCAAATCCAATGATTTGGTTATCGTGATAAAGATGAATGACAAGCTTGGATTCCTTGCTCAGGAATGCTAACATGTCCTCCAAAGACGATTGAATGCGAAATGTCGCGGTCTCTGGTCTTATATCGGGGTGTACAAGGTCATAGAATTTACTTGACGTGATATTGCTTTCAAATAAAGTGTATTGGAAAAAATAGCCATGGTTCAGAGTTGAAAGATCAAGTTCGGGAAATTGTTGCTGCGTTATAAAAGAGGCAGTGTCTTGTAATAATAATTGTAAATTATTGCCGAAATTAATTGTAATTTCAAAGAGAAAAATTTCTGTTCCTTTAGATCCAATTCGATACAAGTCATTAAATTGCTCTTCTGAAGTTGCTGTAGATTTTTTCCGATCATCGCGTATCCCGTATGTGTAAACATTATCTGTAGATCTTCCTAGTGGACTAGGTATGTATCCTGAAGGTTGAGATAGGTTTGGCAAAATGCAAAACCCAATTTCTATTTCAGGATGCAGCCCTTGAACTCGTGATTTAAGAGTAATCCATTTCTCTTTTCCTGGTCTTTCGGCGGCTCCTCTCAAATCCAGCATGTAATAACCCACAAGTTCACTTCCACCATTTGAATTAACCGAGAAACATTGCAA